GAATTATTCTCAGAATTTTTTGCTTTGGCCGCGCAACTTCGCACAATTAAAGGCCCCCAAACGGATCAGGGGGTGGTGAATAATTTCGGCGAAGCTTCGCACAATTCAGCCCTCCCACACTAATCGGGTTCTAGTTCAGCGACCGAGACGCGACTTTTTTGGAGCCGTCGGAAGGAAGTACAACTATTCGAGTGGCGGCTTCTTCTCAGGCTATCCGGCTGCAAACAGTGGAGGGGGATGGAGGGGGTGTAGAAGGACTTCTGAAACAATCCCAGGCTTAGGGTTGCGAATCAAATTCCACGAAAATCCAGCTCGCGCAAATTAACGGCCGAAGCGCATCCTTATTGCTGTTCCCACAACAAATCTGCTTGTCTTTATCATATGTTCTCCTTACCAACTACTGGCTGCATTGGCCACAGTAGATAGCGTTTGAAAACGGCCCAGGTGCCTAACTGAAGTTCTGGCATCAGCAACTGTAGTGAAGGCAACTCATGTTTCACAGGTTAGGCAATCGCACCTCGCAAGACTTGAAGCACCTAAAGTAAGGCACGTTGCTCGACTCCATTGTCACGGGTTCACAGGTCATCAAGCCCAAGCTGGGTTGAAAGCAGTTGACAAAGCGTCACACAGTCCCTGCACAGCCAGCCCCCCATCGACCTCGCAAATCAAGTCTGTAAATCGTTGGGTGCCCCAGAAACAAGCATGCACGCGCACAGAGTTGAGCAGAAGCCTTATGGGCCATGTTGCTTTTGGGTAGAATACTGTACTTTCGACACAGCTGCACAGTAGCATCAAACAAGACCAGCTCATCGAGTGGTAAAATTCACGGCATCTCAGGGCAGAAGTATGACAGATGTGCTTCTATCCTTTGGCAATTATCAGCTATGACAGCATATGTATCAATTCAGCATCCGAAGACTTGCGCACAGCAAATTTCAAAACAACGAAATTTCGGAGCCAAGGGTCGAAACACGAACCTTTGAAGCTTAAGACTTTAAGATCGGAACCTTTACAATTCCGAATCCTGAGGTCTCAAGATCCTGGAGCCCGAATGCCCTAACCTTACACCCAACCTTCAACTACACAAAGCCAACAAAACATCGAATCTTCTACACTTTGCCATCTCGGACTGCTTTCGGGAGGCTCAGTGACGCTTGTCAACGGCACTGTGCCAATCATCCTGTACACATGCGTGAGTGACATGGGTCAGCTTCAATGCGCCTAGGTCCCGCTCAGAAAGTTTTGGCTCTGAATTCAACCCCAAAACCTTTAGCCCTGTAGATCTGTAAGCGCTGACAACACCCAAAACCTTAAAGCCAAAGCTCCGAAAACGATAAACCCGGCTTCCTTTGCCGACCCGCACATTTCTCCTTAAATCTCGCGGCTCCGCCCCAAAACCTGGTTACAACAATCCTCGAACTAGCGGGAATTAGGCTTTTCAATTGCGGCGGGGGTACGGTGTCCTTGTGGGGGGACCATTGTTTGTTGTTGTGGACTGTCATTGGTTGGAAGAGGAGCGGTATTTGACGGGTGCACGCAGACTCCGATTTCTTACATCCAGGTAGCCCTAAATCCTAGGGCCCGACATCCTGAACCTGTTGCATTTCTGAGCTTCCAATTTAATTAGCCGGCTTCTGACGGTTCATGCCATGTAAGTTACCAAAAACCTCAGACTCCCCACTGCTCACACTAGTCGCATGAATGACAGCTTGCGATGCCTACTATTTCTCCCAATCCTTTACCAGACACGTTTTCTCATCTCAAATAGGGGAAGTCTGTAAGATGAGGTTGATGTGGTTAAGCTTCAGACTTGCCTTGTATAGGTTTCTACGATAACTACAAGGGCTTGCAAGCCTCACAATTTGGAAAGCTACTCAGCCTACAAGGAGGGTGCCCTGGGTGATTTTGACTCCAACTTCCTGAAACGAAACTTCTTGATGCCCTGGAACCGTCTGCCACCAATAAGGCAATGAAGGCGGCTTTGGACACATAATGCCTGCAAGTCTCACCTCGGCAGCTATTGCAGGAATATGCAATGGATGTGCAAAGCAGCCAGAGTGATAGCACAGCTCGCAATATCTGTACTTCTGGCAATGATGTTTCCCTGGATGGCAAAGACCGCTTCTGAACCCTCAGCCCTCAACCAATTTGTTGTTACCGAACTTAAGTTCAGTTGCCATGGTATGGAAGCCGGACCGCGACCCAGTCACAGGTATGGCTCGGCCAAAGAATCTATCTGACCCTCTGCTGAGCGAGTGGCAAGAGGAGCCTTCTAATCCAGTGATCGCCAAGTCTCCGGAGCTCTGTCTTTGAATGGCTCTTTTTTTTGGTGATGTGCCTGTGGCCATAGATTGTCTTAAGTTTTAGAGTTTCCCGGAATTGTGGGTGGAAGGTATTTCCGGCTTTGGTACGGGGAGGCCAGGGAACTAGTCGGCATGGTCCAGTTTTTCCTCACCTTGGAAGAGTTTGAAGCCATTTGCCAGACAGACTGTTGAGGCTTCAGTTTTTTCAAGCTGCCGGGATGCATGCATGCCGTCGGACATGGAACCTTGAACCTGTAGTCATGCGTAAGTAGATAGATTCTATCCAGGCTGCAGGACACCCAGAACGCGTCGTTTCACATACGCGTCATACTTTATCTGCCTCATGGGCACCGTGAGCCTCCAAACTCACAGACTCACCCTTCAACATGAGACAATGCAACGAAACACGGCCCGAACAAGCTTCCTTGGCCACACACACGGCAGGCGCGCCGCCTTTTTTTCTAGTTTTGGGGGAGACTGCAGATAGCATAGATGAGCATCAATGAATCCCTCAAATCTGCACTCCCTTTATTCATTCAGCAGGAACTCTAATCAAGAGATATCACACAGATAGTAATGCGGTGCGACGGTACGCACAGTTGCTTAAGATCTGCCCCCTGTCCAAGTAAGAGCTGCATCTTTCCAGCTTTTCTTTTTTGGAAATGCCAACCCACTAGTTATGCAAGTTCTCCCTTTGAACCGAGGAGCACTGTGTCAGCTCAACCGTGTTCCGCGACCCAACGACAGCGCTGTGGGATTCCAAGCGTCAGCTTCACATTGCTTTTTTCGGTGCAAGCCTCCTTCGACAGGACGCTGGGTGTGGGCTGAATTAGGGTTTACGACCTTAGGACAAACTGCAAACTCGGTTTCAAGGTAAGGACCATCTGCAATTTGCGTCCGGGGAGGACCACATGTGAGCTATAGTCTAAACTCCTTAAAGGGGGGGTTATTTAGGGGATTATATAGGGGAGTATTATGGGGGTCATTTCATTAAGGGGGATACTAGGATTTTAGACTAGTTCACGCGGGGTGGACCTGTCACATTTGCTGCATGCGCAAAGTTGCTCCGACTGGAGGAGCCTTGGCACATTTCCTCTCCTGTCAGGAGACCATGTGGAAACTTCTTCCAAAGGGAAAGACTCCTGCAGTTTCAATCATACAGGTCTTCCTCACTCAAGAACTCGGCTTTCCGGTCCACTACAATGTTTTTTTGCAACAATTTTACAAGAGGAGCAGTGGTTTTGGATGCAGCTTGCGCAATAGGAAACAATTCTACCTTCCGTGGGTCAAGTTCAGTGCATCTCCTGTTCCATGTACAATGGAGCACACGTTAAGCAAAGACGTCAAATGGGAGTTTCCAGACATGAGGCACCAGCTAGATGAAAGACCTCCAACTAAGGACCAGCGAGTGTCCCGTAATTTGTCCAAAGCCCCAACCTTGAGCCAGGACATCACCTACCAGCCGCAAACCGCTAGCGTGCTAGCTTACACAGCAGACGCGTCCTTCCAGAATTGGCAGTTTGACAGCATCCTTCTCCAAGACCTCTATGCGCCCGCTGGAGTCTGGGATCTAATTGAAGCCAACCTTAGGCTGAAGACTGCAAGCAAGGCGGAGTTTTTGTTTTTTCAGACTTTTTAGAGTTCACCGCCGCAATTACATACAACCGGAATGCCTAAGGTTAGGTGCTTAATTTGAGAAGCGTTTTGCCTACAACTCTGATGGTGGGCTTGCACTTGGTGAGGATTAGGCTCATATAGTCATGAGAACCAGCCTTCAAAAAAGGCACTCCAGCCAGAGAGACACGGGCATGGGTCCCAATCAGCTGTGCACCTGTATATCTTACACCCGAAACGCGACTTTGTACAGCTTTGTCCATGCCATGTCCATAACCCAAATCCGGAGGAATGTTCGAGTGCCCAGACTTTTTCGAAGTACCTGACGCCGACAGCGCTGGCATTTGGGTCCTCAAGGTGTCCCTGATGGGGATCACAGCAGACCAGTGGTCTGGAGTCGTTGGTATCCTTATTTGTATTCCGATTGTCCGAGTTGAAGACACCAGAACAAACACTGACACAGCCACGACCAGCAATGCTTGCAGTACTTGTAGCAGTGGTAGTAGGATTGCATGATTTTCTGTCAGAGCTGAGAGACTCCTGAGGTATTGGCTTGGGCGCTATGACAGGGACGCCAGGAGTCCGGGTTCCCCTTTCGACCATCCCTCTTGTGATAGTTTGGGTCGATGTGTGAATGAGGAGCGCTTGCGTCATTGAAGCAATCCCTGGTTGAAATATTCGTAGTATGCCCCAAGATTTAATGCAACATTCCGATTCAGAATGGCAGTCGTATGTTGGGGGATAGTTTGAGTATGGTATGTACCTTGAGGATTACGTGAACTTGACAAGCGGCTCCTGGACCAATCAGCTGAACGGGTTGCATTGTACATGGTGGCAGTTCCAGGATTCTGGCTTTTATACCAAAACTACAAAACAACTTTATCACGTCGCAGAATCCTGTGAGTCAAGCCTCAGCAGCAATTTCCATGGCTTGTGGCAAGGCTACGTGAAGCCCTGACCATTCCAGATAGCCAGCTTCTGCGGTTTCAGTCCGAAAGGTTCCCGCCAACAATCTCTGTTTTATTGTGAATAATCCAGCACCACCTTAGACAACCCTGTGCACAAGCCTCTACGGACTGGCAGGAGCTTCATCAGGAACGGCAGCCCCGCTTGGTTGGATTACGGCTTCTACTATGCCTCGAAATCATTCTATGACCCGATGCTTATCTTGAATATGTACCTCTTAAATGATCTCCTCTTTGCCACCATTGCAACGAAGTTAGATCTTTGTGCGCTGCGCTTTTTTGGGGATCTATGGGCTTTTCACCTTGGAGCTGCATCCTGGCCGACTGAGGATCCTCAAGATCCAGATCATCTTTGGCTGGATTGGAGAGCATGGACCGGCAAAAGGGTGGCCGGATTAAAAGCTATCTCTACGTCAGCGATACTTACCTGAGCAGCCCTACTACATGGGTGGGTGTCAACATGAAGGTCTTTGTATAGCCTCTCCAGTAACAAAGTCCTCGGTTTTTGAACCTGTAACGCTGCACATTTTACGAGCTCCATGGTTGTAATCACCGCCTCAAAACAACTGAGGTGGTCCGGTGCGCAGTCCTTGCCGCGCGCGGTGGAATATGATGGCGACCATAGAAGACTTCGCGTGCACTCTGGCTTAGTCAGTTTCTCTCAGCGAAATACCGTTAAATTTCCGGTATACGACAACCATATCAATTACCAGGTATCTGTATCATGGTAGTTTAAGTTCCATAGTTGAATTAACCGCCACCGCTGAAGGGAAGGGGCAGGGCTTGGAGCACCGCCCTTTTGATGCCCATAAGTCGCGTTGCTTGAATCGCTGGGCCTGAGCCCTCCTCCCTGAAGCTGCTGCTGGTACTCCTGCAGCCCTCCCCCAGCATCGAGGTTCTTGCAATAAATCCCGTATACCTTTCGTGGTCTTGCTTCTATCGCGAAGGCTAGACCCCAGGTCTAGCGTGATTTACTTATTAGCGTTAGCTTGCAACAAGGGGTGTGGGAGGGGGACCCCCTGGTGCGTCTAAGATTTTTTCAGCCAGACATCAGGGCAGGGATGGTTTCGGGCGTGCGCCCGGGGGCTCGTTTTGCGAGAATTAAAGAACACGAAAAGAACACCGTATCCCTTCAAGAACACGTAAACTTCTGGAGCGTGCGTCGGAATACGGGCTCAGATTTTTTGCAGCTTTCTGTACAGAAATCCGTATTTTTGTTCACAAGAACGGATAACGGGTGTGAAAGAACACGTCAGAAGTGCCTCACAGGCAAGAGAACACATCATCGACCCAGCGCATGAACCCTGGTCAATGTTCGTTCAAGCTCCTTCGTCCAAGCCCCCTGTACTTGAGCATAAGTACATAATGCATCTACTAGAGTATAGCAGACTATGTGCCAGCAGTAGATCAGATAGTGTAGATAAAATCATATGCAAATACTGCATACACCTACATTTACAATGCACACTGTTTGAGTGCCACGCATTTCGGTGTCAATCACAAGTTTGTGTCCTGTAGCCTTCCTCATTCCCAGTAGTAAAAAGGAGCGGGTACACGTCTGAATTCTGCCAGTTAGATTCTGTTCTAGCTTTCGTCCCAGTCCCTCTCCGCCGAGTCGGGTTTTCTGGCAGACATCTTGTGCATCTAGTCCTTGTTCCATCTACCAAGGTACCCTTTGCCGGCACTGAAGGGTTTGAGGAGTGGCATGGTCTACGCCTCTTCAGGGAGGCAGCTGCTGAATCCCAAGGCTCCTCAGCAGGAACTAAAATCCCGAGTAACTATGGTTTGTCTAGAACTGACACAATTCATATGATGTGCCATGGAATTCCATGAGAACCGATACAAGTAAAACAATATGATGTAGATAATTTTGTTAAATGATGGGAAGACGATAAGACTACAAGACATGATAGCGTCTTCAACTTGGATAGAAGGCTGGCCTTTTCCTTTTTTTTCCGCTGCTCCCCTGGGTGTTTAAAGCAATTGTACATGCCAACCTGGGGAAATTGGGGACGCCCCACATCTTGATCCCGGCGGAAGGATTTGTAATATGAGGACCCTGCAGCAGGCACGCTCAATGTCAGCCAACCCCCAGAGTGCTGATCTCAGGAAGCTTTGGCCCGCCACTCCGCTCTTACTTTGAGGGTGAACTGACGCTGCAAAACAAGGTTTCAAGCCCTTTTGATCCCACAGCTATGACTGCCCTCAGTCCTACAAATATGTGACTGGTCAAATGCAGATTGTTGCCCTTAGCCATCTACTGTCAGAAGACTAGCAAGATTCGCATGCAGCAGTATTCATATCAGATCAAGAAATACGGATAGCAATAATACATTAGCGATTCGAATCCTTCTCGAGGAGCCACTTCCTCTGGTGGATCCAACCGGTCGGGGATTTCCAACAATGCCAAGTGGTTCGAAGCTGCAGCAACTCGGCGTTGGTTCAGGATTGCCCTTTAAATGGCGTAACTTGCTCGGAGATAATGTGGAACCTCATGTAGCCAAAGTCTTGAGGGACAGAAGTCCAAAAGGGGCCCCTTGTAGGATTTTGAACATGCTGAGGGGATGGCAAGCTTAGAGTACAAAACCCAGCTCAAACACGGCGAGTGTTTGTTGGCGGTAAAGCCATGAGGAGTCGGTTGACTTTCCTGAAAGAAGCTGGCAAACATTGCAGCTTTTATGCTGGCTCGTGATCTGCCACAAGTCCCCGTTCCTGAGCGGTAATGACAGAATGGGCTTTACTCTGGACATGATATGCCATGTAGTTACGCACACCCGTTCCGTATCCATGAGGCAACAAATTCGTGGTTGATGAATTCAGGCTCATTGCTTAGGCTCTTGGATTTTAGCGTTGGGGCGTGGCGGTCCGAGCTTCAAGCACAGTGTGTTTTGAAGTGTCTGAGGTGTAGAACAAAGGAAAAGGAAGTTTACCCACGATTTCGGCTATATGCTTATGACGCTCTTGGTGTTTGGCTCTTCTGGCCAGAAGGGCAGAACCCCGCAGTCCGAATCCAAATCTCACATGGCAAATCCTAAATTTCAATAGTTTCGAAGTATGCGGCCCTGTCAGCCTTCAATTCTGAAGCTAACTTTAGGTCTGGTCGCAGTCCTTAAGCCCTGTGTACTCAACCCCGAATTTCTAGACCCGAATCCTGATCACTGTAAGGTCTCAAGCTCAAACCTAGCATCATCTTTCCCTTTAACTGAGAATGAGGCAAGAAATTGTTGCCAACTTCACCTTTCCTGCGGACCTGTTTGACCGGGAGCCGTCTGCGTTCGTTGGGCTGCGAATACGTCAGGCGATCAACTCTTTGAAATGGAGCTGGGGCAATACCATGGTCATATTGGGACCACGCGGCAATTATTGTTCGTTACATGTTCCCAGGTGTCTGGACCGTGGATCATGATTTCAATCCTCCAGAATTGCAGCATTCATGGGTCAGAAGCCAAACTTGTCCGTAGTTCAGACTTGTATGGAATCGTAGTGGTGGCTTCTCAGTTTGGGGCAACAAGGCAGAAGATGATCTGCTAATCCTATTTACTTCAACTAACAAGAACTAATGGGGATGATTTGGAACGTTCTCCCAGCACAAGCCCGACTGGCAAGCATAGTCGGCTAGTGGATTTGGTAGATTACCACGGTATGAACGGTATGCTAGGACAATTGTCGCCAATCTTCGTTTAGAAGAGGTCCACCCTTTGCAAGCTGCTCGCGTCCACCACTGTGTGGGTACTCTTATACGTGTTTTCCCTTCTTCCTATTTCTACTGCCGTGGCTATTTGACGAGAATCCTATGATTTGTACCTGGTACTCGCCCGTCTGCGGCCGTAAACCATCTCTACAGTCCTCATGGGTATATAGGGTACACATAGCATACCTCCTTTCAAATTAAGCATCCTTCTACTGATTCTACTATCCTTGTAGGTGTCGCTCTAGAATCCCAAAACGAGTGCCCGGGTTTTCTCAGGCGTCCTCGACGCAATACGCGACAGTAGGCCTGACTGCCAACCCTCTCGGTGCACGGATGCTGGCTGGCACAGAGATTCGTGCGGCGAGCTACATGGACCTCCCCCATTCAGGGCTTGGGGTTCAGGTTTATGGTGGATGTAGTGGTAGGATTTGGGGTTTAGGGCTTGGAATTGGAAGGTTCACTAGCTTCGGGCTGGTCATTCAGGATCTAGGGTCTTTGGCATGGCCTCATGTGAGACGGCAATGAAGGTTTCCGTTAGAGCTTTCTCGGTCGCTGCAAGGGCAATATGAGTACGCATCAAGAGCAAAACTTGCAAGTGTCTGGTCTGTTCTTATTGGCCTTGATGTCGGGAAGCAAGGGAAAATTGACCCAGAACCTAACTGCCCACATTAGCAAAGGCTCCGCCACAATGTGGATATCTCAATTGAGATCACGTTTCCAGAGCGTCGTCGCATTTTACCAATAGTTTTATCTTATAATAAAGCTAAATCATATTCAGCCTACCAACAAGCCACGTAACTGCTCATATTTCCAATCGACTAACTAAGCCCTGAAAACAGTATCTTCCAATCCAGGGGAAACATAGGATGTAGGCCACCAATGGTGTGTAGAGCAGCCAGGAGTTGCCAATGGATCCGCACGCAAGTGAGGCTGCCAATGCTCAGAACTGTTCTGAGATGTGTGCGCAGGACCAGCTAGCGAAGCTGAAGGGCTTCGTGTTGAAGGGTTGAGCAGAACAGGTCTCTAGCCCTGCTATTTCTGGGTCTTTCATTCTTCTGCATCACAGACTTGCAGCCATGGCGAGATGTTGGAGCAGCAGGTTGATTAATATGGAATCCTGATTGGCGTGGGGGTGCTGAATTCTTCGACGTTTGGGCTAAATCATTCGAAACTTTCCGATTCGTTTGGGGCGGCTGATTTGTACGAAGTTGCGCGCCCCCAATTTGTTTTGGGTTGTCAGGCGATTCGGCTCAGGTCCTCATGAACTAATGAAAGTACTGGACAGGTCTTCCTATTAGAAATCTTGGTTCAGTAGAAAGCTTGCAAGATATCAAGCCTCAGGATCTCAGGCTTCGGGCCAGGTCCAAAACTGGGGATTTCTGATCAAGCCGGCTATTGAGCAGGTCATACAAACATTTTTGCAAGGGGTGGTCCAACAGCTACTCAGGCCCTCGATAACAAGATTTTTTTTTGGGGGTGCTGATTTATCCGAAATTTTCGGCCCCCCTAGGGATTCCAAAAGGCAAGAACCATTCCTCAGAGAGGCTCACTACCCCCTATTGAGGTTGCTTGAAGCAGCTAGGCTACCGAGCTTCGCAGCGCTGATCCTGTTGAATTTACTTTGAAAATAGCTACTGCGCTGTCCTCCTGATTTCTATTTGAGAAAGCTACCAAGCTCCGCAACACTCCTCATTATTGAACTTGATGTAAAACAGCTACTGGGCTTGTCTACTCGCATTAATGTTCAACAGCTGGTATGAGAATGCTTCTGAGCCCCTCTCCAGCCTGGAATCCCATTTGAACCATTCACTTCCAAGACAGTTCCAAGTCTTTCCTGAGCTGATCCCTCCTATGGAGTTGCTGTAAAACTAGGATCCAAGTTTGGGGGCCGCCTCCCTGCCCTGCCAAATAGGGGCCAATTTTC